TTTCGGTGAAGGCGCCTTTACCAACCCACCACCTCGTCCACCCATATCGTCATTTCTACCATTTTTTTTTTCGTTTAGCTTTCTATTAATATAACGCGTATTTAACAAATACTTCAAAGACTGAGTTTTTTTTTTTTTTTTGAAACTTTTCAAAGACTGAGGTTGACGATGACTTTATATATTTGTAAGTAATTGGATGGCTCCATTTATTTTCTTGTGTGACACCCACTAAAAATATGCAAGACATCTCATTCAGTCATTCCCAAACGATATACATTCCAAGCGGTAATTAAAAGGTTGTATTTTACGGAAATGTATTTTTAAATATGGGACAAAAGTTTTGTCGACTCCTGTTTTATAGTTTCGTAGAACTTGTTTTGATTAAGACACGGAAAAAATACAAAAACACTGAAACAAAAAATTCAGCTCAACTCGACAACTTCAATTCATTATTAGTGTGTATACATGCTTGGTTTGACTAGGACATAGATAAAATTATATAAGGATAATATTAAAATTCGTAACTAAAAACCTATCATGATTGTTTAGGAAAAAAAAAGAGACTATCATGATTCATGATGATGAGAACACTAATTTTAAAATTTTCAAAACTAATTGCAGTACTTTGAAAAAAAAAAGAAATTACAGTAATTAAACAATATATTCTAATATTATTTATGGTTATATTTTTAAATTTATGAGTTTAGGATAACGTACGAAGATAAAGGTTGTATTTAAAATGATGCCAATGCGTTTGTCATGCAAACGGCGTGTTGCGTCACTCGGCTCTTATTGGGAATCTTATTATAATCGCGTGAATTTTATAGTTTGCAATATGTCCACGTAATAATTATCTTCTGCACAATTACAAAACAACAATGAAATATGTACATTTGTATCTCTAGTTTATCTTTTGGAACTGATATGCATGTAACGTCTTTTTTTTTTGTCCTGATACGCTTGTAACGTTAAGCATATTGTTTACTTTTCAGATTTCACCTAATGATTGGTTGTGTGTATCTGCAATTTTTCCTTTCTTGTTTCCCATTTTTTTTAATGTAAGTGCATATCAACCGTTACTAGTATATTTTGAATTACAAATTTGGTAAAAGACGACAAAAAATAATGTAGTAAAAGAAATTTTTGATCACAATGTCTACAGAAATTTTTTTACTTGTGATTGGTAACGTAAAATATAGTTGTAACAATATAGTAAAAGACACATGGAATTCAAGTCTCTAAATATAATAAAAGACGATGATGAGGACTCAAGTTTCAAAAAACTGCGATAACAATGCAGTTGTTTGAGTTTAGTGTTTGGATTTTTTTTTTTCGGGAGATCTTTACGGTTTGTTAAAACGTATGTTTGATTAGCTTGTTCGACTACTTTGTCTTTCTTTTTTTTTCCCATTATAACTTTGTCATTGTCAGTACATTTCGGTTTTTATGTTTTTAGATTGTCTATGTAACCGCTGATACCCATTATAGTATGATATATTTTGAATTATAAATAGTCAAAGACGACATAAAATAATATAGTAAAAGACATTCTTGATCATAATTTCCAATATGTTTACGACAAAAAACTTGTGATCGGTAACATAAAGTATAGTTATAACAATACAGTAAAAAACACGGAATTCAAGTCTCTGAAATATAGTAAAAGATGACGATGAGGATCGAGTCCCAAAGAACTACGATAACATTCAAATGTTCAAGTTTAGTGTTTGGATTTTCTTTGTCGGAGATCTTTACGATTTGGTAAAGCTTGTGTTTAACTAGCTTGTTCGATTACTTTGTCGTTTTTTAAT